CCTTTCTTTGTAGTTTTCGAGATGTGACGTTTTTTGTGATTTTTTCAAAGTTTTCAGAAATTAAAATTAATTATTTTTCAAAATTTGAAATTCCCAACGTTATATTTCGGTGTTGTCAGGGTACTCTAAAGAGTTGCAAATCTTGCCACATGCGACTGCTCAAATGCTTTTAGTTTCCGAGATGTGACGTTTTTTGATTTTTTCAAAACTTCTCAAAGAACTTATCTACAAATAAATTCAAAAAATTTGAAACTACTAGCTTGATGAAGATACAACCTTATTGTCAGCGTACACCCAGGCGTCTTAAATCTTGCCTCTTAAGATGAATGCTCAAATCTTTTTAGTTTCCGAGGTAAGACGTTTTTTTTCAAATTTTTTTCGGGAAACTTAGGTTTAAAAAAGTTTACAAAATTTTGGATTCCTAACCCTATAGTAGGGTGCTCTCAGGGACTCTCTGTGGTTGCAAATCTCGCCTCTAAATTTCTCCAGAGGCCCATTAAGTTTTCGAGTGACACTTTTAAAATGGGAATAAAAAAAATTTAAAAGTTTGTAATTGGGAGCAGTCAGAGTACACTAAAAGTTTACAGATGTTGTTTCCAATATATGCGGTTTTTCATGAGTTGTCGAAACATTTCGAAGCACCGAAGGTGCGTTAAACGCTAGTTGAGATTAAATAGACAGTTCTCAAAAAAGACCGCACAAATTCTTTAAAACAATTAAGAATGCAAAGAAAAAACTGAGATCCAACGTAATATTCATTTTTAGATATTCTTTCATAATCAAAAAAGATGACCCAATTTTCATAATAAAAGCATGTAAGCTTACAATATCAAGCTTTAAAAAATTCGTTATCACAAATATAGAGGTCTATTATTTTTGAAAAACTATTCCAAAGAATTACGCTTCATGAAAAATATTCAGTTGTAAAAAAATTACGTTATAAAACACAAACTTTAATTTCGATAATCTTTTTTGCTCTTGAAAAAAGCTTAGTTCGCTTATTTTTATACATTTACATCTCGAGCCAGTTTGTTTGTTCCGAATGTTTCGGACTCTCCCTTAATTAGTTTTTAATAGAAAGCCAGCAATTCGTGTGGAGGTATTGTTTTTCCCATGGTGTCTTTTAATCTTTTTAATCCGTCTTTTTACCTGTGCCATAGATCAGAACAATATATTGATATGTTGGTTGAATGCAAGTTTTGTATGTTCTGAGCAGAGTAGAGGTGTAAAAAGAATATCCGATTTGGTAAATCGAGCGAGATTTAGCTGCTCTTTCCAAAGTCTTATCGATATGTGTTTTGAAGTTTAAATTTTCATCAATTACAACTAATTACTGCTGTTGTTTTCCAGTTTCAGTTTGTTTTTGTATACAATATACAATCATCGGCAAGTATTATTACATTGTGTTGCTTACAGACGTTAAGCATATCAATTTTACAAAGCAAATTTCTTGTTTTAGTTCCCGAATTTGAAATGTTATTACTAACGTACTATTTACGATTCTCTAGCTGTGGCCCCAAAACAATTGCAAATTACATCGTAAACCGTATATTTCGCTCTTTCTAATAATATGTTTTCATCACCTGTGTCAAACGATTTTATTAGATCTAATAATATAAGGAGCCAACATCTTAGATCTCCCCTATATATCTAGTCACTTCCAAGATAGCATCAACTCTACTTTCTTCCGTACCGTAATCCGTACTGACATGATGTCAATACCTCCTACTTTGCTGAAAACTTCTCAGACGATTTTTAATCTACTTTTCGAACCCTATAATTTGTAGAAGAGATATAGGTCAGTTGTTGCTGTAATCCGACGTTGTGCCATTTAAATCATTTGGTGGATTTTGAGCAGTCTTAAAAATGAGAGATATGTCAACTGCAGATTGATTAAAAAGGCATTTAACAAGCTAAGATATAACATGACTATTTTAATGGTTCGGTTTTAAGTTTGATTTTAAGTGCAAGTTTTTTTTCACTCTTATTATTTCTAATTACTTCAAAATTTTTCTAATTCTCTACTTTAAAATTCTGTTGTCCTGTGTTTTTAATTTCGACTAACTTCTGATCATTTTCAAAAAAATATATATTAACATTCTTCTGCACTCGGTACGCTCTATTCTGATCTCGCTTGCTCTTGCTTCTCTCCGATCTCACCTATGACTTATGGTTTTTGATTTTCGACACAAGCTTTTCATTTTTTTTTGTTCATGGAATTACTCACATTTCTTAAGTGATTTTTTAGTTTGTAAAATTTTATTTGTAGCTGTTATACAGCTTTTTCGATTTTGAATTTTAAAAAGTCTAGTTATCCAAGATTTCAAGTTCCCATTTTTCAAGATTTTGTTTTTCAAGCAAGTTTTTTCTGAAGTCGGAAATGAGACCTTAATTTTTACCGCTTCCTGCTTTCGCAGAGTTGTGTTGAAACATCACTGTCATCAACAAAATTTGGTAAAAATTACGTCTATATTCGACTGGCTGCTGCTTTTTTTTATTCTAGTACTATCTTTTCTTTTAAAAACAAACACTCAAACAGGCTGTTTTCAAAGTTTAGAGTGACTAGTCGACTATCACAAACAACATTCAAGTATTCGCATACACTGCGCATATCTCCTGGCTGCATTTTCAGCTCGAACAGATAGTCTTGTATTGTAATTGATCAAGAAACATACATTTGTTCATGTGAAGCACCTTATACACAACAATTAGATAATTTTTCTCCTCCTCGTTTGACATGAAATTATCAGAGTTTGCTTTTCGTCTGAAATTGCTTTTTCAATTTATTATATCAAATAGCTTTGCCTACGTAAAAAGCAACACCTGCACCGAGTATATTTCTGTCCTCTGTTTCTGAAAACTGTTAATATAACTTACGATTTTTTGATTGTCGACAAGCTTTTCATTTTTTCTTTGTTCCTGTAATTACTCACGTTGTTCAAGTGATTTCATAGTTTTCTCAAATTTTAGTTTAAGCTGTTATACAGCTTTTTCGATTTTTTAAAAAACTAGGTGTTGTCCAAGACTTCAAGATGCCGAATTTCTAGATTTTGTTTTTCAAGCAAGTTTTGTCTGAAGTCAGAAATGGGATTTTATTTTCGACCGCTTCATGGCCTCGTATAGAGCTGCGTTGGATCATCACAGTAAAAAAAAACGGTGAAAACTACGTCTTTGTTTGATTCGCTGCTTTTGGATTATTCTATTACTATCATTTAAAAAAATGCTCAAATATGAACAGGCTGTTTTCAAAATTTAGATTGACTAGTCGACTATGACTAATCAACATTCATGTACTCGCATACAGTGCGCATATCTGTTTGACCGGCAGAGTTCTGCTGATTCAATGTATTGGCTCGTTCCTATTTAGGTCAGTTTCATTTCTATTTTGTTATTAATTTAGTTCAATTTAACCATAACTTATGAAAGCGCAACTATGGGTCTTTATCTCAATTGAATAATTTTTAATTCCGGTTGCTGAAAAATGCAACGACACTACTACTAGCTGACTAATTTGTCTCAGTAAAAAACTAGAAAACATAGTTCAGCTGAAATAAAATTTTTAGAACAATTAAAAGAATCGAAAAAACAGAAACAGAAAAAAGACAAGTAAATTATAGTTAATGATATTCGCAATTAATCTCAACTACAAAGAATTTTCATCCTAATTGACTTTTTCGCTTGTAATTGCAACATGAGTAAAGATCTCTTGATTGTTGTAAAACAAAAAAATTACTTTACCGTTGATTTTGAGCACTAAAGTTGTTCTTGATTCAAAACTAGATGTAACAAAAAAGGAGTTTCACCTGTAGGAGTTTCTTTTGTCTACGGATGAGAAAAAAGTGATCAATTGTCGAAAAGAGCAGATAATGAGAAACTGACTATTTTCTTAGAAAAATTAGTTTTTTCGTAATGCCAACAATTTTGCTCATTCAATGGTTTTCAACTCATAGTTTTAGCTACGAGGGACTGCTCCCATCTCTAACAAACAGAGTGCATTCGAAGTCACACGCTTTTAATTTCCGCGTTTTCACTTTTTCAATTCGAGAATAACACTATCATAGAGTTTCTTGATTTTCCCATTCGGCTGCACCGCTTTGCAAATTTCGTCGCCCTTCTATCCATGGGTTGTTTTTGATAGCATGTCCCATAGTTTTTAAATTGTCCGTGTCCCCTTTTTCATACCGAACTTGCCCACGCTCGTTTTTACACAAAACAATTACGCTGCAAATCCACGATGATGTGATGAAATCAGTTTTGATTGCTTCTTAGCTTATGTTTGTCTGAGTTGGAGGGAGACGTTCATTCGTGTACACTTTCTTCCCATTGTGTGCTTTTATTCAAGTTTTTTTGTAACTTGGAAATAACCTATTTGTCCTTCAATCTGAGCGTAGGAGTCATCCATCGGGTAGGTTCTCAGTATCCGGATTAATCTGGTACGCACTGAATGAGCTCTCGGTTACATAAATGGATCCCAAATATTGGAAAAATACAGTCATATCACAAAGAAATTGATTTTTTTTTCTTTAAAATCACCAGAGTACTTTCTCAGATCAATGGAGGTTTTTTGATTAGAATCGAATCCTTCACCTCTCGTTCAAATTTTAACAAATAGTTTAAGCTCACTTCTTCTACCTGATTGATGATATCATTCATCTGCTGTGGCATGTTCATGATATGATTTTTTTCTTATACAATAAGTAAAAATAATTTTTAATGAAATTGGCTTTTTCTGTATTCTAACAACGTAACTTAGTTTTTAAATGGGCGTTCAATTTTTTCTAGATTGATAGATTGCTTTTGAAGGTCAACAAAAGAGCAACTTTTTCTCAGATATGTTTCGTTTTCGTTTTGCAGAATTTCCGTTTCACTTTTTCTAGTATTTGTAATTTTTATTTGTAGTTTTGTTGCAGCTTCTTTACGCCTAAAAAGGCACTGATTGAATACACGTTTTTTGAAAAATTTTATATTAAAAATGAACTAAATCTATCAAAATAGCCTATCAAAACCTCGTCAAACATTTTTAATTTAACTAATTCAGTATATTGGATTTGAAATTGAAAAACACGTTGTTGGTATGTATGCAAAATGTCCTGCAACGCTAAGTTTGAGTTCTTTAGTCTTTTGAGTTCTTTCTCAAACTAGGTGCTCTTTTAATTGCACGTCTCATCATCCTCCATTTGTTCTTCATCTTCTTTGTGAGTGTGTCACTTTTGCCGATGTTGAGAGTCTCGCCTGCCGTCTGGAAATCAGTTGAAGTCTCAGAGAGACTGTCGTCGTGTTGCTCCATAGTTTCATTTATATTGTCCAGACTGCCGTAGCGAGTCCTAACCAGACTGTGGGAACTGCTGTGGGTCTGATGTGCCAGGAGTCTTCTGGCGACCATGGGCGAACAGTAAGGGTTGTTGTTGATTGCGCTCTTTGTACCCCAACTACCGTTACAAGAAGGAGTGGTGATGCTGTTGAAGCTCTGCATGTTGCATTGATTCCTCAAAGCCTGCTCGTTTGAGTACTGCTTCTGATATAGAGTATCAGTGTCTATGCTCAAGGTACACCTCGCAACAGGGGCGTTTCCACTCTGGGATCCCGCGAATGTTGAAAGGAAACTGTTGCGGTTGCTGGAGATAGGGTCTTCGATATAAACTTCTAAGGGGTTGGAATCTATCGTTTGATGTTTTTGGGGTCTGAGCGTTGCCTCTTCGTAATCTGTGTAGGAGTCTACACAGTAGTCTAAATTGGTAGTGACTACTTGCTCTTCGCAATGTGGGGCGAGACTGTAGATTTCGTTGGAGTATGACCTCCGGTTGAAGTGAGATGATGGTGGTAGAGGCGTCTGTCTCGGACTCTGCTGAATTGGTGGGTTAAATGTCGAGAAGTGTTTCCTCATAATGACGTCACTCGGCTGACTGTGATTGTTCGAATGTTGTCGTACTGGCGGGACAGGTGGCAATTGAATGGGTGTCTTTGAAGGGTCCAACGAGCGTGAAGGGGAAAATTCACAAGTGCAACAACAGTCATTTTCTTCTGCTTCTTTCTCTTCCTGCACAGATTCGTAATACAGGTTGAAATGTTCTGTTTGTGTTCCTAAAACAAAGATTAATTTGAAAAGAAAGGCCTTCCATCGTGCATTCGCCTACGAAAGAGCCCTTTACTTATTAATTTTGACATCCAAGTATGGGTAACTCATCATTTTACTATGTTGATGAGATAGCGCGACCAAAAATGTACGAAAGGTTCTCATAAAAGGCATTTTTGTGCGTTTTCTTTTTGTTTGCCGGGTCCAGAACATTTTGGCTCTTAAATGAAAGCCTTCAATTACTGCAAAGATCCTAATTAAAATAAGTCGTTTTTGTAGAAACCTTCCGATGCGACGGAGATGTCGGAGCAACTGCAGCAGGAGCACGATGAGTCACTGTCTTGACCATCCGAACAGAGACTCAGACTGCAGTAGTCCTCACAATCACAGCAACATTCGTTCTCTTGGCTCTTGCTTGCATCACAGTCGTCATAAGTGTAATCATAATTGTTATCATTGACTTTATAATTGTCATTTTCTTGGTCATCATCATCATTTGTAGTCTGACTCGATCCTCCACAACTACATTGCACATTATTAGATGGTTCATTATGTACAATTATGTTAGACATTCGTAGATGTTGGTGCCCACGATCCCAAAATTGTCTCAAGTTGTCGCAGTCCAAACTATTGCGTCGTTTCTCGTGATGATTAGGACTAAAACTTGTCATTGTCTTTGATCTGCAGCTGCAAAGTACTGAACCATTTTCGCAATCGAGTTCTGACTCATGATTGTCTAAACAGTTCTTGATTGAGTGATTCTCAAAAGGGTTCTGATATGACTTAGGGTTATGATGAGGAATTTCGGCGTGAATCTCTGAATGACCGTTGCGATGGTTTGCAACTTTTATCAGCTTAGTGGACGTTTCCGGCGAACATGCACACCCGCTATCTTGGTCAACTCCCTTTTGGGAACTTAAGTTTGAACTGTCTGTAAAAGCACCATGATTAACAAAAAGCTGTTTGTCAGAAGTGATAGTTTTGCTGCTATTGCGGTCGATGCGGGATAGAACAGCAGTTCGAACTTGGTTCTTTTGCTTCTGAAAGGGAGTTTGCAACTCCTCGGAGTGGATTCTGTGGAAACAAGGAGGTCCACAAGAACCGTTACTGTTCCTTTCTTCCCACTCTACTGCTGATGTTTCGAGGGAGTTATGATGATTTCCATGTTGATGCGTGTTGTCTGAATACCCTCTGTGTTTATTATGTTTGGTTTTTGTCTTCTGTGGAGGGAGGGAACAGTTGTTCCAACTCACACACGCTCTCATCTCATCGCAGCTTTTTCTACCTTCAGGGTTGCTGTCCAATGTCTCTCGTGTATTCGCTGTGAACAAATCAGTAAATAATCAAGAGTAGCCAGTGTTGCTGTGCAAGTAGCACAGAAATTTCCGGACCACACGAGAGAAATCAAACAAAAAATCAATCAAAAAGTTGAAAACAGAAAAATCGAACAAAACTATCTATCGGTAAAGAAGCGCTAAATGAAGCTTCAAAAACTGTTTTATTTGTAGTAAAACTTAGTTTTCAGAGCTTAATGTACCCGTTCGAAATTTTACCAAAAACAGACAACGTTTTGGCAAAAACAGACAACGTTTTAGAAAAAAAAACAGACGTTTTAGAAAAAACAGACAACATTTCTTGACAGACAACATTTTTGAAGTTTAAAATGTCGAGTGATATATCATATTAAAGCCGTTTCAGTCGTAATTCGAACGAAATTAAAAATTTCGAAAAGTTTTTCTCAGTGTCGTTTTGATGTTTGGTCTAATTTCGAGCGATTATGGTAAGCGAGCAGGCTTAGAATGGCTTATTGAGGCTTGATTTAAGTCATAAAAATTTAGTTTTACCCAAGTAAAGTTATTTAATTGAGTTTCTTTGCGCCATTTTGGGAATCGAAAACTTCCAAAAACATTGTTTCAAAATTCAAATAATTTCTGTGAACATTTTTTGTTGATTTTTCACGATGGTTTTTTTTTCGTTGTTCTATTCATTTTTCTACAAAAACTGTTTTCCAATTTGCCTATTACATTATGACTGTCGAATATGCCTAAGTTTTAGAAAAAAAAAACTTTTTTGTTGTTTCAAGACTATGGTCGGAACATTGTGCTACTTGACCTGTAACCGGTTATCATTTTTTTCTTTAACTGTTTGTTATTCTGGCCTTTAATTTCTTTCCCACCTAAGAAAACGAATGAGTTTTTCTAAATTTTTAATTTAGCAGAAGTTACGGAGCTCGGAACATTGTGCTTTTCTTGCAGCAACAGTCTATATAGTGTTTCGACTCATTTACAAAGCGAAGGGAAGGAACTATAACGTACGGAGGGTTTTTCCCAATTTTTAGGTGTCTCAAAAAACTAATGGATCAAGTGTGTTTTTCAGCTATTTAAGCCGAAATTCGGATTCCATAAAAAATCGTTCTGGAGACTAATGATGTTTTAGACTGGAATTTCAGACTGAATTTCCTGTCTAATTATAAGTTGTTTTTTCATATTTACGCTATTTTAAGTAGTTACTATACTTTTAACTTGTCTCTTCGCACTTATTAAATATAAACAACATATAAACAATTTTTTTTTGCATTTTTAATTACTTTTTCGTTAAGTTAGAAAAATTTGCGTGGTCTCAAATTCTGTGCTACTTGCACAACAACCAAATTTCCTTGCCTTTGAGATATCTTTCCAGAAAAAAAAACTAAAATTAAATATTATTTAGTGAATATCAAATTTTAAGCACTAACGTAAAATCACCGAATTCCTGGTCCCACATATTATTTTTTAACCTTGAAATCATAAATTATCTGCTCTCAACAGAGTTGCAGAGTAACTAACTACCCGTCTTTGAATATAATCGTATTGAGTTAAAGTATATTTCATTAGAAAATATAGAAAATATTGCAATGGTCCCAAAATTTTAGCAGAACTCAGTGTTTTTGATGTCAGATAATCAAATCGAATTATGCCATTTTTAAAATTATATTAATTGAGTAGAAAATAATTAATGCACAATTTCAGTACCTGATCGCGTGATGAAGAACGGTTCCTCGGCAGACAAAGAAGATGCGTTTGAAGAGGCGGATTGTATGTGTGTATGTCCCTCATGTTTACCATGATGGTCATGATGATTTTGTTGTTGTTGTGCTCTGAGAGTGTCCAAAAGAGCCAAACATGCCTGGAACTTCTCTTCCACAGTTCTATTCTGACCCCCTTGTCCTTGTAGTGACCCCCCTTCTGTTGATTCTCCTGTCGCGGGGGAGGGGACTGTAATGTCTCTCTTCAGATCCATCATCTGTCGCTCCAACTCTACCCAACTCCAATCCATCATTTTTCCGCTCTCTACTCTTATTTAGACTGCTCAATATCTAGTAATTTTTACTAACAATTCTGTGAGAGACGAACTAACTGGTCTTTGATGTTAAAGTACTTACAAGTAGATGGCTTTTTGAAAGCTGTAATATCGATTTTTGAAAAATTGATAATGATGAAAATTCGGTTTTTATGGACAATTGTTAGAAATAGCTATCGAAAATGGGAAAATGGTTGTTGCTTTTGCTGTTTTGATAAAAAGTTCCACTACAAAGGAGTCTGCTTCGAAGTTAAGGAAAGGAATCTAAAGAGTTAAGTAAGTTGTCACGTGAATTCGTAAATATTTACGATGACTGAGTTTTGTTATTACTTTCCTTGGATCTAAAACGTCTTCAGAGTAAAAGTGAGTGATGAAAATGAGTAACAGTCATCATCTCAAAAAGAAATGGTCAGAATTGAGAATTCATTTAGGAGTTTCTGTCGAGGAACGATAGTTTACCAAATAAACATTACAGAACAGGTACAGGAGATGTCATGGCGTCCGTCATTCGATTGCCGAAACTGAAACTGATTACTCACTGATACCATGATTGCCAATCAACAGAAAAACGTGAAATAACAGGGCCAACTCGACTCAACGACGTCAAAGGACAATGACTAATGTCTCTCTAATCTAAATGGATACCTTTTGGACCACTTTGTTTATAAAGCGAAACTTAAGCGTAAATATGTTGTAGCCAAACTAATACTTAGGTGATTACCAGTCATACCAAACAGGCTGAAACTCTTTGAAAGGATGAAAATTAATCCGAGTACGATAAGCTCCTTTTTCTGTTACAGACTATCTTTGTAGAGTTGTTAAATGAAACAATAATCGACTGCAAACAATTCTCTAATAGTCCGAGTGTCTGGCGCCTTTTAAAAATAAAAGTGCCTTCAGGTCATCTTTGAAAGGCAGCCGCAAATCAAAGATTCCGAAGACTTAAAATCGTAAGACTGTAGTAGCTTAGTCGAAGTTAAAGTCGTTGGCTATTTGCTTTCTAGTAGAACAGTCAAAACGTAAACATGTGTTCAGCAGTAGAACTTCAGGTAATTTTAATTGGATCGAGAATAGTCACGAGAAATTTGCTGTTCCGAAAAACAATCCAAGAAGTTAGGTTGAGTCTGCGGTTTTTGCTTCTCTGAGTTCACCTTTTGGTAACTCTACGAATAATCGCTCTAAATTACAGACATTGTTTTAATGAAGGTTAATGTTAAAAAATAGTTTTTAAATTATCGGCCAACAGCGTTCTGTAAATCAAATTGAATGCTCAGTGAATAAAAAACAAGCTTGCAGCTTTAATTATTCTTGGAGCATAATCGAAATGGAGTTATTTTTGGAAAACAGTAGTCGGAACATTCTGTGCCAGAGGGACCGCAAGCAGTTAGTAATTTCTGTTGTTAGAATTTATATGCCTTAGGAAGATGATAACTTCTGAAACCTTCTAAGAATAATATACATATATAATGGTTGAATAAATTGGTGTGCGGCTGAGAACCTTTTCGCCATTAGGTTTCTGAGCTGGTAAATAAATTAATAATATTCCAGACATCCGCGTAGATAGTACTGGTTCCATTAACTAGTTATAACCTGGGGGTTGTTATTTTTATATCAGCCACGCTCCGTGTAACAACCTGAGAGCCACATGATCCCATGTCTTCTTCTCAAAAACAGCTTCGAGAAGATTGACTCTTTTCGGTTAGTTTTGAAACTTCCGGTGTGGGAATTGGCGGGGATAAGTTTCAGTTGGTAGTTTGTTATAACACTAACAAACAACCCAGAATATACTAACTAATTCGCCATAACCGTCAGGGCGAGAATAGGAATAGTATAAACAACAATTTTGCCCCCTTGGGCGATTTCTGTTAGAAAATATGTTAGGAAAAAGTACAGATTAAGTACTAACCGGTCAACATTGGAAGACTATTGAATTTACATATGCTGAATCAGTAAGACCTGCAGCAGTATTGCTAATGGCTGTTTGAATAAACAATTAAATTCTCAAGCTTTGCATCAAAAGTTGTCGAGTCCCTTTCAATTTTAACACCATGTTGTTACTTGAACAAAAGTCACTCACATGAGAGAACTTCATTAGAACAACTCAAACCATAATTCTGGTACACTTTGTTAAAGGGGACTTGTAGTAAAAGCCAACAGTTCTGGCCGACTAACGAACTAAAAAAAACTGTTTTCGAGAAGTAGAAGCTCAGATGTGGTTCTGGTTGCCTGTCGAATCGTGATTAAAGTGTCAATAAACCACTTTGTAATTTCAAACCACGTGTCCACATCACTTTCAAAAATAAGAAAAACTAGGCAACCCGGTTCAGTAGTCGTCTGAGCTAGAGCAGAGCAGTTGTTAATTATTCAGCAAATCCAGACTTCTAAGCGCCTAGATCGAAAGAAAAATTACAGATAACCGTATTTTCATCTATGTTTGGGTCGACGTGCTCAACTTGTTTTTCGAGTGGTCCGACTAAAATTGGGTATGTTTCGACTGACTTAAACTAATTTGGTCACCCTTCAAGTTTCTTTTTCAAAAAATGTGTCGTAATTTAGTGAGCCGGCATACCTTGAGTATATCTTAACCCGTCTCAATTGCATCAACCGAAAAAAAAACGTGTTTCGTTGAGCTGGAACCAATTCGGATGTAAGTTGTCTGGAACGATCAAAGTTTTAGCATCTCCACAGATAAATTTCAGCAAATAAAATTTAAAAAAAAAGTAAGGTGATTCGGCTAGTTTTGAGCTACATGAAGATGCAGAAAAGAATTTTTGCTCGTTTGAATGTTACAAATTAAAGAATTGAACATTGGAGGCCGCATGCAATAACCAATGCCTTAACTAATGATGCATCAAAACTTGGAATCACGAAAACTGTTCAAAAATAGGAATTGGGTTAGCGGGGGAGCAAAAAATTGAAAATCGAAACAAAAAAAAGTGAGGTAGAAGTTGCCGAATTCAATGGCAGTTTGTAGAAATCAACGAAAATTCATTGAGTTCACCTCATTGGTCAAAGCTCGTTTGTTAAGTTTTCAGAAAAAAATGTCTCAACGTTTTTTGTAATCTTCCTGTAGGTCAAAATTAAAGTCTTAAAAATTTCGAGCCTTCCGAATAGGTACTGAGGCAACTCAATTACATTTTTTTAACCAATATTGTCTTTTAAATGTTCATATTAAAAAGATGACTTTTTTAATCTCTATTGTGATCAAATATTTCTGGCAACGTCAAAAAAAACCTTTCTAAATACGTGTTAACGGCATTAATAGCAGCAATTGAGAAAATTAAATCAGCAGTTTTAATCTTTTGAATTGCAGCTATTAACGCAGCTAACCTGTTTTTTTAACTTTCAGAAAAAAGTTGGAGCACAGCTAAGATAATCAATACAGATTTAAACACTCAACTTTATAAGTAGTTTTAGCCAAAAGTATGCATGAATACTTAAAAAGATATTAATTTGAAATCTATTTTTTCATCAGATCAGCAATTATGTGGATGTCTCAAAACTTCAAGAATGTAGTAAGACTTTGCCTGCAAGTTCTTGGCGGCAAATTTTGTTGTTGTGTGCTCCAGATGAGATCTTTAATTAGGTTTTTTGAACATAATTCAACAAAACAAGTTCTCCAAAAATTGATTTTAACCTGAGCAAAAAATTCAAAAAAAAAACAAAAAAAATCTGTACTTTTTCTCCTTTTTAATCAGTCAATTTTTTCAGTCAAGTAACGCCCTAATTTTTCAATACCATCTAAAAGATATTGCTTTCCGAACTTCAAATTAAAAAAAAATAATTTCATCGACTACAGTGATGATTTAAATTATCCGGACAAAACGAACAAAACTTGAATTTTCGAACACGTTTTTGTCAAAATTGGTTATGATTAGACAAAGTGAAGAGAACAAAAGTTGTTTAGAGTTTCATCAGAAATAATATGGTGCCACTTTTTCTCTGAAATTCGCAACCAAAATTTAACCCCATTTTGACTTTTTTCAGACACTCAAGAATTACGCTGTTAATTGGTGAGGAATATATATCACAAGAATCTCCTTACACAGCTCAACAAAGTTCTAGAACAATTAAATCTCCAACAATTTGTGTTAAGTATTTATAATTTATTTTTAATCAAAGATTTTTGGTTGTATATAGTGAAAATCACGTTTCTTGACTATCAAGCCAAAATGATCTCTCTTATACTGGTTTTTGAAGATTTAACCCTTCTAGAACTTTGTTGGAATGTGTAAGAAGCTTATTGTAATATATATATTGGGGTAAAATTTTAGTTGAGAAGTTCTAAGAAAAAATTGCACTGTATTATTTCTAATGAAATTCTAAGCAACTGTTCTCCTCATTTTTTGTCTAATCTTAAACCAATTCCATAAAAACGGGTTTGACAATTCAAGTTTTATTCATTTTGTCCGAATAATTTAAATCAGCACTGTATTTTCTGACCACGCGTAAGCGGCACATTAATGCGTTCCAAATTAAGTTAAGGCAAATCATTTGGTCATAATTATAGGAGAGACATTAACTGCTTCGCTTTGTAGCTCACAGTAGCGAGTGGGGCAAAAAATTGAAGAAAAAATAATAAAAGTTTTTCGTTTTTAATAGTCAATTTTTAACTGAAAACTTTTTACTAAGCCTCAATGGGCGATAAGAACATTTACGTGCGTTTATTCTTTTTACTTGGGTTGACTGACTCTTTTCCAATAACCTGTAGGCTGTGTTTAATGTTATGAAATATCTTATTTACTTAGTCCAGGCAATTTCTACAAAAAAATATTTGAACAGATATGGCTTCACAGAAATGTGAAATGTTGTGAAATATCTTATTTACTTAGTCCAGGCAATTTCTACAAAAAAATATTTGAACAGATATGGCTTCAGTTCTTCTGGGATATGGAAGGTTGGAATTTGTACAGGAAACAGAGTGCATGTTTGATTCAACATGTAACAGTTAATATGAAAGATTGTAGCTATCTTGCAAAACATTTATGAAGAAAAAGATAGACAAAAGATGTTCTCATTTGAAGTTTTTTTCATTGAAGGGGATTTATTCACTTATCGAAAACACCAACATAACCTCAAAAAAAGACGTGGTTGTGGGTTGAAGCTATTTTCAGTAACTAGCCCAATCAATAAAAATTAATCGAGATTAACGTCATTTTTATTGGATAAAAGGCGACCTACCTTTCAACTACTAAATGGTGGATAAAAAGGCAAAACGCAATCAATGGTATTGACTACTGGTTTCGTCACCACGATGCTAGAACACTGTCGGCTCTATTTATTTGGTGAAAAACAAATGAATTTAAGCGTGTTGAAAAAATAAGCGAAATTCAGCGTCAGCAGTCCAAGTATACAATTTTGAAATGCAAGCCAAAATAAATACTGAAGCTCAAATTTTGCATATTTTTGCGCCGTAAAAACTTTGAGCCTTATTTAAATATATTCAAATCATTTCCGTTTCAGACCCGCATTTTTGCATTATCAAGTAATATTAATTTTTCACGACGCTGTATCCCGTACTAGACAAAATATCCAGTTTTTCACTCTGAAGAAATCAAAGAGTTTTGTTACTTGGGCTGAAAAAAAACAAATTGTCAACTCATCAAGCTTTCAAAACTAGAAAAGACGTTGCAAAACTCTAGTAAGCTATAGAAAACTATTATTGACCTTTTCTCGGCTGTTGAAAAGATTAATTAGTATTTTTCTTTTTAAAAAACGATAATTTTTAGTTTCAACTGGTTCTGGGCACGATATATTTTCGGAATTTCTGTTAGATAAATCACCAACGAACTTCATCATTAAGTTATCTTCGCAATTATTATTGCTAAAAGTTTCTTGCTACTGTAGCTGACAAAAAAAGCATCTTGACAGCCCATGATACATTAAGATGGAACTCAGCAAGCAACCTTGGCTTGTGGTAGTAAAATTTTATGTATATACAAGAAAAAATCGAAATCTCGATATACTTGGAGTTATTTATGCTCACAAAATTAGAAATTTCATGCAAAATGTACCAAAAAGCAAAAATAAAAAAATTGAAACGAATGTTGCCAACATCTGTCTCTATGCTGTTTTTCATTACAAGTGACGCGAAAAACAAGTAAAGTCTTCTTTATAAAGTGCATCAAAACTTTTTTTAGTTCCGGTTGTTTCTCAGTCACTTAGAACATAATCGACAAAACTTTTGCCAAAGCTCTTGACTCGCGTCAAATCATTCGGACAATTTTTTAAAAAATCCACCTAGAATAATGTTTTTTTTCCACATTTATAATCTCTCTTATAATCTATTCATGTGGATTATGTTAAAATCACTCATGAAGATCATTTTTTGAATATTGAAAATGCCTGATCAAAATTGGTTAATTGCTGTAACAGTTGAATGAAGTTTGTTACGGTTGGGTGGTTTTAATACAAGTTATTCACAAAAAAAAATATTGCTGGCAGGATTGAAATTAATTACCATCCCCACTCTTAATCAATCTTATCAACCAAGTTCTTAAAAATTTTCTCTCATTTTTTGCGCTAGTTTTGCTGGTTTTAAAATTAACCATTTTTTAATATTACCGATTGTCTGTTATATCTAAACAAAACGTGTGTTTTCATTTCAGACCAAATTTTTAAAGTTTTGCTGAGAAAAATACTTTCTGAGAATTGAGAAAACACAAAAAATTGTCGCGTTCTTTTGAAGTTTTTTTATTCGAGATTAGATCGAAAACTTAGAAAAGCCGCACAAAACAACTAATGTTATTAATCAGCATAACAGATGTGTTGAAGACTTAATCTCTTGATTTTCACCAAAAAAAGAAACGATTTCTTTTCTCGTGAAAGTTTTGCTCTTTTGAAAAAACTGCTGCATATTGGCTGTTCATTTTTTTAAATCAAAACAGATAATTGAAGGATTAATTTTATTCGGGTCTTGGTTTTTTTGCACATGTGTTTTTTGAGATTGAATAATAGTTAATTGAATCACCAAAAATGCACTAACATTTCCAATCCAATAAG